TGTACACGCATGCAAATCCATCACCACGCCCAAGTACCCAGGTCAGACGAAGAGAGACACGTGTGCATGGCATCTACACGTGGAAATTTCATATGTGGCACACTGGAATGTCTTGCTGCTATGCCAAATTTCCATGCATATCTGGAATTGAGCACACAAGCTCTTTCCAGAGGTATGCATGCTACTTCTCACCTAATTCTGGAAAGAACTAGCTTGACTAGAGCTAACAACCACAACAACAACAGCTTGTATTTATATAGTGCCCTTCACACTGGTAGCGCCCTGGAGTGTGCAATGGAGTGCCTCACGACCTGCCATTGTGAATACTGCCTACCAAGCTTCCTGGTGCTTGTTCAACCAGCTTATTAGAGATCTGGCTTTCAGGGTTGATGGAAGCTGTGTGAGAAAAACTTCTATCTCCAAGTTCTGCCGATGAACCAGGCTGTCCAGTCAGTCATCAGCAGGTCTTGGTGCACTGAAGACCACCCTTGCTCAGGAAGCAGACTACCCAAATCGTCACAGACAGTTGACTTGATTCCGACTTTCTTTTGTCAAGCAAGTCACCTCGAAGCCAACTCAGAACACCCCACTTACCTCTTTTGGTGAATAGAGGGTCTGACATATGCGGAAACTTACCATCATGCTCAGGGTATCCAAATCAAACTGAGTATTCCATACATCCTAACTACACATGGAAATCTCGGAGATAGATTGATAGAATGGAATGCGCACTCTCCTGGAGGGAAGCATCCTGCTTACCTTATTCCAGAAAGTATTAGGCACAGGATGGCAATGGCCAAGGCTGGGGGACTCCAGAGTGTGCGTTGAGGTACTGTCGAAGTCTAACCAGCTAAAACCGATTTGCTTGTCATTGATATTGCTGTCTGGCAAGCTTTCCTGCTGTTTGTCCAGCTAGGACCACCCTACCCTCAGGGCTTTGGCTTTATTCCCTGCCCCCAGTGACTGGTCTGCCCTTCCTGGTCCTGTCAGTGAGCCAGGCTGGCTGTCCTGTCATCAGCAATGCCTTGGAATACTGCCGACCCTCCTGACTAAGGAACCGGACTATTGAGACTGCCAGAGAGGGCTCGATTCCAACATTCCATTGCCAGTTCAGCTCCAAGGAGATCCTGCTTAACACGCCCCAAGGAGAATAAATCCCACATACCTCCCTCCCTACATGAGGATAGTCATTTCATGTAGCTCCTTGAGAGCATCTCAGTGAGCAAGCAGCACACCAGCATGAAAGGTGTGAGAGCATCAGCACCACCTTGGTGCCCACAGCCCTGCCCAATTAAGCGACACTTTCACCAGTTGCGTATTTGTGGTGATATTCGGGTACAGAAATGTCAGATTGTCTAAAGAAAATAACTATTTTTGAAAAAGCACAGTATGTTCCAAACATTCCAAGCCACTTTGCTTGTTTTGGCAGCTACCCTTAATTTGGTCTAACATTGCTGAGTGAGTGGTCATGCTCCGTACAGTTGCTGACCAGCTGAACCTTTTTTGGAATGTAGGATGAATGAATTTATAGAGGGGTTATTTTTAGCTTTGAGCGACTTTAGGGGTCATTGCCCTAGAGGTGGGGTGAAGAAGAAGGAAAAGAAAGAAAATATTTTGGTGCCCCACCCTCAACATTTAAATCTTGTTTAGAAATCTTGGCGTACAATTTTCGGGGGGCGGGGAGGGGCTGTACAGCAGTCCTTGCATTTGGTACAGCCCCTTTTATGTCGGAAGGATGCCTTAAAGAGCTTCACAGGATATACTGTAAAGTGTAAGGACTGTGTATATTGTATATACTTGCCTCCTTCGAGGCACATCTCAAGACCTTTTCCTCGTGCCTTTGGTCTCCTCTCCCTGCCCTCCACGCGTCTTGATCCCAACCCCCAATTCATTTCCAAATCCCTGAATGTCCAGTGCCTTGGGACGTGAAAGGCGTTATACAAATGTTGTTGCATGCTGCACTTCCTGTGTATTATGGTTTATTGGGCCTTAGCTTTACACAGTGGCTCTACATGGTTTTGGAATCTGCCTTTGTAAAGCCACACCCATCTTAATAATGGTGTATGTTACTTCTGAGACTTGATGTTTAGAGTATTATAAATTAAATGTTCGGTTGCAATGCGAGCTGCCGGCTGATTACAGACTTGTTTTTGCAAAATGCCCTGTAATTTAGACGTTGAAAATTATTGTAGAGTAAAAGGTTCACGAAGGAACGGATTGGATTTCTGCAGCAAGCGAGACGCAAGTTTCCCATGCGGAAGGGCAGACCAGTCACTGGGGACAGGGAATCCTCCCACTCAGCTCCTGTAAAACCTGCAAGCTGAAGCCCTAACGGGTCTGGTGGTCCTAGCTGGACAAGCAGTGGGAAAACTTGCCAGACAGCAATATCAATGGAAAGCTAATGGTTAGACTCCAGCAGTACCCCAACGTACACTCTGAGGTCCCCAAGCCTTGGCTCTTGTCAACCTGTGCTTAATACTCTGTGGAATTAGGCAAGCAGCGTGCGTCCCTCCAGGGAGAGAGAGTGCATTCCATTCCAACAATCTATCTCTGGGATCTCCGTACGTAGGTTGGATGCATAGAATTCTCAGCTTGATATGGGTACGTGGTGATGGGTTTCCGCGTGTCAGACCAAAAAAAAGGCAAGCTGACAATTCTTGCCATTCGTGGTTTTAGTTTCATTGGAATGAATTGGGCAATGATCCCAGCTCCCTGTCTGTGAGTTGCACATTTGTTGAGGGGGTTGAAAATTCCAATGTTAGATTTGCTGCAATGCTTCTCTATCTCCTTCCTCCCCTCCCCCCCACGGCTTTGGTTTAAACCAGCTGAAAGAGCGGTCAAACATCTGTGTTTCATTTTCAGAAATTGGATGCAGTGTTTCTAATACCAGATGCTATGTTAGCAACATCTTGTTTGAGGAATCCAGCAGGGCCTTCCTGAACATTCTTAACCCTCTGATTTTTAATGTCATTTTCCTTCATGCAATTTGCAATAAAATTACGGGGGAGGGGAGGGATGGGCGCGGTCATGTTTATTGTGGTGCAGAATTAATGTTTTTAAAATGCTGCAAATTAAGTACTGTTTTTAACTGATGTAATCCTTGTACAGCAAGGCCAACATGAGGGTTTTGCTTGGAGGGAGTAGTTCGGAGCTCATTTTAATTGTAATGAACCTCCAGTGAAGCACCAGAGTTAAAGAGGACTGTGGACCACTGTAAATGGTTCTCAGATGCGGTTGCATAACCCTGGAGCTCCTGCACCGCAGGATTAGACAGTTCTGCTCACTGTGCCTAGACTGGTATGAGGCATGATACAGTATTGTTTTTTTGCCCTTTGGGGAATTAAACCATTCTGTGTCCATCTTAATAGGGTAGAAGATATAAATACCTCATGCCAACTTTTCGGGAAAAGATACTTAGGCAACACTGTGTAGGTGCAGTGCACTTAATACCTGAGAATGAGCAATATTGCCAAGGAGGACCAATGCATGAACAGTGAAAGACAATTAAAGAGGGAAGCTAGGGTGTAAAGAGAGGATTTTGTTTGATTAAAGTAGATTTGCTAGATCTGGCGAAAGTTGACATTGTTGTACCACAGCACACAGGAAGTGATGTCCTGATGACATAGAATCACTGACCGGTGACCATTTTTATAGTGATTCCTTTGTATCGCAAGTTTTTTTTAAGGAGACCTGAAGCATCCCATTATAAGGGGGTCCAACTATAAATGACCATTGCATAACTGATCTTCCTAGGATCGGGTGACTTTGAGTCGCTTGTAGGTTGGTATAAAGTGCTCACACCGCTGAGCTAGATAGACCTGTTTAAAGTGTTTGGAAGGTGAAGAAATTGTAACTGTTAGAGGCAAAGTTGGAGCTCAGCAGCCAAAGTTCATCCTGCTACTTGTGGTGAAAGAGATGTTGCATTAAGCGGAAGTGGATTTCAATCATGATGCCTCTGTGTCATGAACGGCAGTGTGAAGTCTTTATTTGAACTTGTCAAAGGGATGGTCAGTTTCAACCAGGGACCAGCCAGCAATCATCAGGGCTGCTATTTGGGAAATGAAAACCTAGCTTGATGGAGCTATTGTTTTTATCAAATACTACACTATTGCAGGTGATGAATGTACTGTATATATCATTGCTTGATGTGATTACATAATAACTTCAGTGCATTATTGTACAACCGTCTTTGTGAGTATGACAATCAAGCTTTCTGCTGTGCTGGAAATGTACAACAAATTGCAAAAAAAATCGTTTGTGTCTTTTATAAAAGAAAGTGCAACAATATTTGAAAATTTGCTAAATTGTTTGACAGCATCAGTCAGGCTAATCAATTGCTCCAGTTTATAGTGAAGTTGTAAATGGGAACAGATTATCCTGTCCATGTGTCAAGGATCGATGAGGCTCAATTTGGGATATTGCATTTAGTTTGGGACACCTGTCTTCAACAAGATATTATTGAATACTGGTTCCCCAAACCATTCGTTCTTCATGCAAGCGCTGTAATAATTGTAGAGATGGAGAAGCCAAACTGCTTCTAGGAGATCTCGAAGGTCACCAATAAAACTGTTAGATCTTTCATTTTACCCACATGAGGATGGCACTGTGTGGTCTGGGTGAATTTGAACGCGCCAAACTTGCAGAGTTGTACTTGGACTTTACAAAGAATGTACAGCGCAGAAACAGGTCACTCACATACATCAGAACACTGAGGCCACTCAGGCCAACTAGTCCATGTCAGTTTATACTCCACGCAAGTCTTCACCCACTCACTCTCTCCCACACACATCTTCTACCACCTCCTTCATGTGAAGCCCTAGCTTCCTCTTGAATGCATCTACACAATCTGATTCAACTGTTGCTTCTGATAGCGAGTTACACAATTCCACTACCCTCTTCGTTAAGTAGTTCCTCTTAAATTCTCAATGCTTTGTGAAGAAATCGGAAGTTTTAGTGCGTCTTTCCAACGTTAATGTATTATTGTTTTCCAATTTGTTCAGGTGCTGCAGCTGGAGAGATCTGACTCAATTCTTGACCAAAAAGACTCAGAGTTGACAGGAAGGGGGGGAAACTCACTCCGAGCAAAGTTTGTTCCCTTCAGGTAAGGCTGCAGATTGCTCCAATGGCAATCCTTGTTACAGTGTTCTGATGTATGTGAATGACCTGTTGTGCTTATTGACCTGTTTCTTAATGCTACTTTTTGTCCATATTTTTGGAATGTAACACTTGTATTTTGTAACATTGCATTGATACTCCAGATAACAGCAGCTCATTCCCTGACTTGCAGTATCTGCTTATGATTCTAGTAAACATTTCTTTAGAGTCCCATCTGCAGTTTCTTAGTTAACATTTACTCTTGCAGCGGATAAATTAAATTACCTATTTGATAGTCATAAATCATGTGAAACCGAGTTACTCAGGATGTCAAAGCCATTTCAAGAATGTAACCTTTTTTCTTCCTTTCTTCCCCCCCCCTTCCCTCCCCTCTCCCAAAAGGAAAAAAATGTGGATTTTAAATTGAATTTATTGTAAAGTTATGATTCTATTGTGGGGGGAGGGAATGTGAGGAAAAGAGAACATGAGAAAAGTAGGGAATATTAATACAGTAGATTTAGCATTCACTATAATAACCTTCTGCATATAGATGTATAGTACACTCTACAGAATGCTTTATACAGTAGTATAGTAGCTGTACCTTGTTATATATAATGACTCCCAGCACCACCTCGCATGCTAAGCCAGTATTAAGTGCATGGGATGTCCTCCTGATGTGAAACACGCAATATAAATCGCATTCAGAGTTAGAATTGCTAATGTTGACGGTCTCCAGTTCTTTCCCAACTTGATCTCATCAAGGTCACCTCATTTGGAGAATTAGTGCAGCATTAAAATGTTTTTTGAGGTTAGCAATGCTGAGTGCAGTTGGCTTTTACTTTTATTTTTCGGGGCAATAATATTGTCCTCCTATCATCTGACTGTTTTGTTTAAGAAATCCAGTACTGTGGTTTGGTTAGGTAAACCTTCACCAACTTGTGGCTTTACCTTTGTTCCATTTGGTTGACCGAACCATGTTGGGAGGGAGAGACAGTAATGTATAATTTAGTGAATTGATAGCTTTTGATACTGATTAGATTGCTAAGAAAATTGGATCAAATTAGAAGATGAGATTCCCTCTGGAATGCCTGGCAACAAAGAGGATATTTTGCTTCGAGTTTTGGTATCTCTTTTGAGGAATGACATTTTTGTTTGGCGGCTACAATGGACCTTGTTATTGAGGCAACTGTTTGTGGTGTAGTGAAAAAGAACAATCCTATCTCAGTATTTCAAGTTTGCTTACATTGACTTCAGGCTAGTGTTGTAGTAATAATAATCCTTACATTTGGTGTAGCTTCTTTCACTTCAGGAGGTTGTTCCAAAGCACTTCACAGGATATACTGTAAAGTGTAGTGACTGTGCGTTTTCTGGGTAAGCAGACATTTGAGGAGCCTTGTTGTATGTAATTCACTTAATACATAAATGTGACAAAAGTGAAATGTGAGCACTATAAATTTGCAAACTCTGCAGAATCACTTTCCTCCCTTGATTGTCTCAAATAATTTCGGCTTTCTATTTCCCTCCGAACTTTCAGTGTTGATACAATGATATTGTTGGCTTGTATTATTTCCATTGGAGGAATGATCTATTAAATTGAAGTTGAATGCTTCATAAATCATATTCTGGAAGGTCTAATCTTTCTTCAGGAAATGAGAAAATTATTAATTTGAGCCAGCAGTCTCTTCCTTGCATCTGGAGTTTGTCTTATTGGTTTGCTTTGCTTCATTTTGTTTACTGTCGCCTATTTTCTCTTTGGATATTTGATCTTGCCAGCAGTGCGTGTCACGATGAAATGCCAAGACAAGTTTTACTTTGATGTCGCGTTTAAAAACGGTTGACATTGCGGAGGATGGACTTTTATTTTCTGGTTCTGCACATAAACCCAAACGATTTATTCTTTCTTTAAATAGTTTTAATTCGATTCATTGTTGGTTTCTTCTCTCCCTCTTTGTGATGCATGTTTGAAAATATTTCTTTAATTTGCTGCGGTTACACTTGGCTATATGTTTGTTAGTTGTCAGCTTGCCTCAGTCGGCAAACACTCAAGTCTTTTGTTGGGACTCGCAGTCCAGGCTGACACTCCAATGCAGTTTTGTGGGCAGCATTGAATTGTCTGATGTCTTTTGTATGAGATGTTATAATAATAATAATCCTTGCATTTGATATAGCGCTTTTCACGTCGGGAGGACGTCCCAAAGCGCTTCATAGAACACACTGTAAAGTGAATTGACTGTATATTTGTGGGCGAACGCGGCAGCCAATTGCGCACAGCAATGTCCCACAAACAGTCGTAGATTGAAAATGATCAATTTATTATTGTTTTTGGTTTTGGAGGAATTATTATTAGGCTCTGTGTGGAGTAAGGAAACTTGCCCAAGGTTTCGCCCTGCCTGGAATTGAACTCAGGTCTCTCGCTTGCAAAGCCAGTGCTCTAACCACTGAGCTACAGGACTCCACGTTGAATGGAGGGTCACTATTAAACATCTTGTGTCACTATTCAAAAAGAGAAGGGAGTTTCTCCAGATGTCCTGGTCAATCGTCCTCCAGATAAAATTGGTCATCTACTTCATGGCTGTTTGTGGGACATGCTGTGTACCTACAAATATAGTCTCAGCATATCCCTCGCCCGGCTCCAATGACACCCATTCCCCCAGAGGATAGAGTGCAAAATCCTCGCTTTCAAGGCCCTCCATGGCCTTGCTCCTTCCTACCTCTGTGACCTGCTGACACCATATCAACCTGTCCGCTCCCTCTGTTCAGCAGGCTGTGGTCTGCTCAACATCGCCCGCTGAGCCCGCTCCACCATCGACCAGCCTTCAGCCTCTCCTGGTTTGGAACTCCATCTCACATTTTCTTTGCTTTGCCCCCTCCCTTGCCTCCTTCAAGGCACGTCTCAAAACCCTCTTTTGGTGGCTCCCTCTGCCTCCTTCTCCTCCTTTATCTCTTCACAGGATATACTGTAAAGTGGATTGATTCTTGGGCAAATCGCGGCAGCCAGTTATACATTGTTATGCAGTCATACTCCTCTCTCTCCCACAAGAGAATATACACTACTCCATCTCCATCACCATTTTCTACAGTGCCCCCTGTACCCAACAGTTAAGTGCCTACATTGCCTGTTGCACATTTATTAGAGCTCCATTTATGCAACGTTCTCTGCTCTATTAAAGAGATGGATATGTGACGAGTTCATTAGTCACATTTAAGAAAAACGAGCACCCAATTTCAGAAAGCTGTGATAATTGGCCTTTTAATGACTCCCAGACGATGCAATGCAAGACAGGATATTATTTGTACAGTTGTTCAAAGCTCACGACTTCCAACAAACTGTTGAACTAAGACTTACTTCGATACCGTTGACCACTCTATCCTCCTCCACCGTCTCTCCTCCCACCTTAACCTTCATGGTTCTGTCCTTGAAAGTTTCAGATCCTACCTCTCGCACCTCCTCCACTTCATCTCCGCAAATTGTTTCTCCTCTAGCCCCCGCACCACCTCAAGGCACTCCTCTTCGATCGTGCCTTCGTTCAGCCTCCTTCCTTCTCCCCCTGCCCTCCAACCTCCCAACCCAATCCCAACCCCCAGCTCGGGTCCGAAACAGTGATTGTCCAGCGCTTTGGGACGTCCTCCCCACGTGAAAGGCGCTATACAAATATAATGTTGTTGTTGTTTAAACCCAATGTATGTAGTCCGTGGGACCAAAGCATCTGGTTTTGCTGAATTTGTTTGTATTGATTTCCGACCTGTCCACAATGAAAAAGATTGAGCAGCACCTGAAGTTTGAACTCGTGCCAAACCTCTGAATAAAGGAATTCCAAAGTTCATAATATACTGCACTTGAAAAGCTCACTTAAAGGGGACGTAAAGTCAATAAGGAGTGCGTTTCATTCAAGATACTCCGACCAGAATTAGAAGGAAAATAACACCTGCATAACTTATTAGTCCTTGCATTTCACATGATGCCTTCTCACTTCGTTGAAGTACTTCACAACAATTTGCTGTAAAGCGTAGTGACTGTGTATTTGTAGGGTAACGGCCAGGCAATCTGCGAACAACAATGTCCCACAGGAAGCTATGAAGACCAATTGTGTTTCAGGCTTTCCTAAAAAGTGAGTGAAACTCAAATACTTAGTCCTGTACTCAGTGATCTCTGATACAAGTGAGGCAACTCCAAACCAGCGTGAGGATGATTAGTGGCACATTAAATCGCTGTAGAGAATTTTATTTTCTCCATTCCTAGTCAGAGTACTTGAATAAAAAGTTCTTCATCTCAATTTCATTTCCCCTTTAATTGGTTGAACAAGTAGGATTTTAAGTAAGTCTTAGTTCAACAAAAGTTTGTTGGAAGTCGTGAACTTTGAACAACTGTAAAAATAATATCCTGCCTTGCATTGCATCGTGTGGGAGTCATTAAAAGGCCACATTATCACAGCTTTCTGAAATTGGGTGCTTGTTTTTCTTAAATGTGACTAATGAACTCATCACATATCCATCTCTTTAACAGATCAGAAAACTTTGGATAAATGGAGCTCTAATAAATGTGCAACAGGCAATGTAGGCACTTAACTATCGGGTAACCTAGAAAATGGACTAGGATTCCTGCTCCTGATCACAATCCAGGAAAATACATCTGTACGGATGTGGGTGAGGACAGGGTCGAGCTTAATTTTTATTTTTATCCCTCACTTTAAGGTCAAATAACCTTCTGCCAATCGCTGTATGTGCTCACACACATACGACATCAGCCATCTGTAGAAGTATATGTTTTCCTAATGTTATTCCTGTGTGCTGTCGTGATATAAGACAATGGAGATGGAGTAGTGTACATTCATTGTAGGAGAGAGAGGAGTATAAACGCATAACCATGTATAACTGGCGTGTATAGCTGCCGCGATTTGCCCACAAAATAGTCAATCCACTTTACAATATATCCTGTGAAGTGCTTTGAGATGTCTCAATGACGTAATAAGGCACTATACCAAATGCAAGGGTTGTTATTCATTTTCT